ACAGGCTGGGTCTGGCTTCTGGGTCTCGCTGGGTGTTTTCGTCATGTCCCCACTGCCCTCATAGAAGGAGTGGTTGTTCTCATGAACGCTTTCCTGCATTAGTAGATGCTCATTGGGATTACCTGTGTCTACTGATATCCCCATTTTATAGATGAGAAAACAAGACACGCAGAGGCCACATAACTCGGAGAGCATCTGGACTGGCATAGTGCAGAGGAAACTCAAGACGTTAGAACAGCTGAGGGTTTGGAGAGTGAGCCCTACCCCCCAAGTCCCCCACAAACCCAGAAAGGGACTGGTTGGGGCTAGGGAAGGGGTCAGGACCCCACTAAAGGTGCAAGGTTCCTGGGTGAGGCAGCAATTCTAGGGGGAACGAGCACTGGGAAGTGAGGGGGGGAGGCTGTCCTCCCAGATAACAGACTCTACTGTGACTTATAACGGGTAAAAGAGTGTGGCATTGACACAAGAACAGAGGCAGACCCGTAGAACAGAGTGACATCAGGAAACACTCACGTACAGGTGGGGCTTGGAATGTAAGTGTCATTTAAAATCAGCGGGGAAGGGGCGCCTGGGTTGCTCAGTTGGATTTCGGCTCAGGTCATTATTGTCTGGTTCATGAGATTGTCCCCCACATCGGGCTCTGTGCTGACAGTGTGGAGCCTGCTTGGGATTCTCTCTCTCTGTCTCTCTCTGCCCCTTCCCTGCTTGTGCTGTCTCTTTCTCTCAAGATAAATAAATAAAATAAAAATAAAATCAGGGGCACCTGGGCGGCTCAGTTGGTTAAGCATCCGACTTTGGCTCAGGTCGTGATCTCACAGTTCGTGGGTTTGAGCCCTGCGTCGAGCTCTGGGCTGACGGCTCAGAGCCTGGAGCCCGCCTCCGATTCTGTGTCTCCCTCTCTACCCCTCCCCCACTCATGCTCTGTCTCTCTCTGCCTCTCAAAAATAAAGAAACGTAATAATAAAAAACATTAAAATAAATAAAATAAAAATGAAATCAGTGGAGGAAAGGACAGGTCATTCTATAAGGATTCAAGACAATCAGCTACTCATTAAAAACACTTAACTTAGATCCTTAACTCACACCATTCACCAAGATAAATTCTAGGTGAATTAATATAAAAATATAGGACAATGCATTTACAGGTGTTCCTTTTCCAAAAAGGTAGACACAGCATGTGAAAACTGCAAAGGAAAAGCCTGGTAAATTTGACTATATCAGATATCAAAGTGTTTGACAAAAGCAGCTTTATTCATAATTGCCAAAACTTGGAAGCAACTGAGATGTCCTTCCACAGGTTACTGGACCACAGGTAAATGGCCTGTGATGGGTCCAGATGATGGAACATTATTCAGCACTAAAAAGCCATGAAGAGACAGAGAGGGACCTTAAATGCATATTGCTAAGTGAGAGAAGCCAGCCTGAGAAGGCTATGTACTATGTGATTCCAACTATATGACATTCTGGAAAAGGCAAGCCTGTGGAGACTATAAAGAGATCAGTGTTTGCCAGGGGTTCAGGGAGGCAGAGAGGGAGGGAGGGATAAAAAGGTGGACCACAGGGGATTCTTAAGGCTATGAATGATTCGGCACAGTAATGGTGGTTACCTGTCACTATACATTTATCAAAGCCCATAGAATGTGCAACACGAAGAGGGAACCCTAATGTAAACTCAGGATTTAGTTAATAATAATGGATCAGTATTGGCTCATCAATTGTAACAAATGTACCACACGAATGCAACGTGTTAATTATACGGGAGATTGTGGCGGTGGTGACTGGGGACACATGGGAACTCTCCATAATTTCCCCTCACTTTTTCTGTGACCCTAAACCTGCTCTAAAAAGTAAAGTCTATTCATTTAAAAAAACAAAAAGGTGTTTGGTACATGGGAAGACAAGAGCAGTAAACTCTTGGGTAGTCTACGTGACAGACAGGATTAGTATCTAGAATACATAAAGAATTCCTACCAACTGATAAGAGAAAATACTTTTTTTTTTTTAAAGAAAAAATTGACAAAGGATACAGACAGGCGCTATACAGACAGAGATAGGCATGGTCAATAAACACGTGAAACACGCCCAAGCTCACCAGTATGAGGGAAATATAAAATTGACAACAATGTTGAGGTGGCATTCTGCATCCCACGATGGGCACAGGTTTTCAGGTTTTGGAATCTCCAGTGTTGGTGAAGGTTTAGGTAAGTACCCCCAGACAGCTGGCAGAAACACATGATGAGGCTACCATGCAGGAGAGCAATTTTCTGACATTGACTCAAATTTAAAACGCATATACTTTGTGACCCAGCAATTCTTATTATTCCATCCGGAGCAGTACTTGCTTGTATCCCCAAAAAGACTTGTAGAAAGGTGTTCATCACGGCATTTCTTGTAGAGCCGAAAACGGGACAAGACCTAGTACCATCCATTGATTGGGTAGATAAAACATGCTACTTCATTATTAAGGAATCGTATGCGTTGGTTCCAAAGAATAAGCTATATCAGTCACGTACGTCTTGGCAAGTTCACCCAGAGTTGTGTCAAGTGACGAAAAAGAAGATATCCATATGGCTCACCGTTCGCCTCCTTTCAACAGACTGGGCCAAGGCAGAGAGGACCAGAGAGGGTGCTGTCGAATGGGTGGGATAGCCCAGGTCAGTTCTGCGCCACCTGCCAGGGCACAACTCAGGATGTGGTCTAGGATGTAGTCGGGCCTGGCAGAGACAGCCTGGGGGAGGAGGGACTTTTAGGAGGCTCCCGAGGAGGCCTCAGCACCTGTCGTGGTGCCTGGATTTCCTCCCTGGGATTTCCTGCCTCAAGGGCTCCCCACCAGCTCTAATCTGCAGTCAGAGAATAGCGAGAAGTGTCTATAAGGGGTTGTCTATGACAACCACAGAGTCCTTTCTCCTTTGGGCCTGGGGTCCAGTGACTGGCGTCAGGCACGAGGTGTGCTGGAGCCTACGGGTGCCCACGGGGCACACCTCTCCTCTGCTCTGCCTTCCGTGACCTCCCATTGGTCGCTTGACATTGGCCGTAGTGGCACCGTGGAACCTGATAGACGCTACAAACCAGGGCTTTTCTTTTGCCTCTGGAGAACCAGTTGCTAACCATTTATCTCCACCCTGTGGGAACACAGGATGGCTTCCTCCCTCCATTCCCCACCCTGGGTCCCAGGACACAGAACCCCACTCCCTCTTTACTTCTGCCTTTGCTGAACCTCCATCTCTCCACTCCTTATCTCCATCTTTTCTCTTGCCTCCTCTTCAAGAAGAGGGGAGAGGGTGGAGAGCCTTGGAGTTGAGGGCATTTGGATATGGGCACCAGTCACAACTATGCCATGGACTCCCTCTGTGACCTTGGACAGACTTTCCCACTCCGGGCTTCTATTTTCTCCCCTGTGGAATGGAATAATCGTATTCAGGGCTACCACATACAGCCTTGTAGGCATGGTTCTGCTTCAACTCTGCTTCAACATAGACTGTATTGTGAATGGGGCCCTATGGAGATGCGCAGTGGGCAACCTGAACAACGGTACGTAGTCCTGATCAAGGTACTTCATGATACTTCAGAGGGTTGTTGTGAAAATTAAGAAGTAATCATACAGAGTGCTTGGCACATAGCAGGTGCACAAACATGATTGTTTTCCTTTATTCTTGTTATCTACCCCTCCCTTTCTCATCAATAGTGTATCACTCTATCTTAAGGTTAGGTTCCTGAGGGCTCCAGATGCCACAGTCCACACAGAGAAATGTCCCCAGATTTATAATAATCCCGGTGACTATAATGATTGCGTGCCACTGAGCACAGACTTGAGGCTGCCTTGCCTCACTTCACTTACTCTTTGCCGTACGTGTCACAATCCTCGTCTTTGGATCCAAGGACTTGAAGCTCAGAGAGTGAGGCTTTGCCCAGTGCTACGTGATGAAAACGTGGTGGAAGAGGATTCCCACTCAGATCCCTTGGAATCCAAGTTCTCCCAGCCAGTGGGCTCAAAGATTTTTGACCATGAGCCACAGAAAAACATTTCATGTTTCAGTCACTGCGCCCATGTACACATGCATAGAACTGAAAAGTTCTCCAAAACAATATTCATTCCTGCTACATTTGATGTATCAGATATTTCTATTCCGTTCCATTCTGTTCCATTCTGTTCCATTCTTCTTCTTCTTTTTTTTTTTTAATGTGGCAGTCAACAGTGGCAATCATTGAAGGTGACTTCATGACCCACTAGTCTAGTGAATCAACACCTGCAGTTTGAAAAATACCCTCTAGGCTGCTTCTCCCAAATGACCTCCTAACGCAAGAATCAGCAAACTATAGCCCACGGGTTAAAATCTGGCTCGGTGCCTGTTTTTGTGAAGTTTTATTGGTACACAGCCATACTCTTCCATTGATACGTTTACTGTCTCTGACTCTTTTGTGCTACGACAGTAGAGACGTAGTTACAACAGGGACTGCGTGGACCACAGAGCCTGAAATATCTACTTACCTGGTACTTAACGGAAAAAGTTCGGGGCTCCCGGGTAGCTCAGTCGGTTAAGCATCTGACTCTTAGTTTTGGCTCAGGTCACGATCTCACGGTTTCGTGAGTTCAAGCCCCGAGTCAGGCTCCCAGATGACAGCGCAGACCCTGCTTGGGATTCTCTCTCTCCCTCTCTCTCTCTCTCTCTCTCTCTCTGCCCGCCCCCCCACTCATGATGTCTCTGTCTCTCACAATAAATAAGTAAACTTAAAATAAAGACAAAGAAAAAGTCTGCCCGTCTGTGCAGATTTGACTCTGTGTCTCCCTTGTTTAATTTCTCCATGCCTTCCCTGTGCCTTCTTGCTCAGACTCAAGCTCCTTGGCTGGCTTAGAAAACACCACCCTCTGGCTTCCCCGCTCTGGTCCTACCAACGGCCCTTCCCCTTCCATGCTGTCCCCCAGCACTGACAGGCCCACAGGACAAAGGTGGACAGAGCTCCACCTTGCTTCCTGACCTCTTGTTCTGCTCCCCCCACAGGCCTCCTGGGAATGGTCGCCCACATGATGTACACACAGGTGTTCCAGGTCACTGTGAGCCTCGGCCCTGAAGACTGGAGACCCCACTCCTGGGACTACGGATGGTCCTTCTGGTAAGTGGCCTTTGACCTTCAGACACCAGAGCCTCCACGCATGCTGGGCCTTTGGCAGCTCGGCCCAGGTGAGGGAGGAAGGGCAGAAGAAGGCAAGGGTAGCCCAGAGTGCACGGGGACTTTGAGACTCTATGGCCCATCCACTACCTGTTTTTATGCGGCCCTCAACTTAAGGATGGTTTTTACATATTCAGATGCTTGAAATCAATCAAAAGGAGAATAACACCTTGTGATGTGTGGAAATCATGTGCTTAAATTTCAGTGTCCATAAATAAAGTTTTATTGGGACAGAGCCACTCTCGTTATTCACGCGTTGTCTTGTGGCCGCCTTCACGCTACAATGGCAGAGCTGGGCGGTTGCAGGCAACAGTCAGTGGCCCACAAAGCCTAAAATGTTCACCGCCCGGCCCTTTACAGAGTAAAGCTTCTGACCCCTGCCACACAGGCTGTTCTGGAAGGTGGGAGGGCCTGGGAGGTCGGATAATTTTTGTATGCAAGAGCAAGACAGAATCAGTAGACTCCCGAGCCAAGTAAACAAGGGGTGTGTGTTAGTTCGGGTGACCCAGAAGTCCAGTTGGGTAACCTGGGGGGCCTCGGGTCAAATCCGTCGTGACCCTCTGCGAATTTAACCCTGTCCCTGGGTGGGCTTTCCTCCTGGTGGTGAGAAACCTCCCTCCTGGTGCCTCTTCCTTCACATACGGGGGAAGGGAGGGTTCCTCTTTCCCCAACGTTGACCGAAGTCCCCGGTCTCCCCCTGATGGGCCCATCAGGGGCCATGGGTCATCTTCTCTCTCCCAAATCATCACCACAGCTGAGGGAGGGCCAGGAACATATTGGTTCTGCTTGCCCACGCTTACCTCTTGGGCGAGGAATGAGCCCAGAACTCTCCGGTGGTGAATGACCGGGATGGGTGCTGGGTGAGCATCTGCCCCAGGCACAGCTGGGTCCAGGTGCTCAGATGATTTATCAGGAGCTCTCTCCACCCCCTTGCCTGTCTCTGTTCCCTTTGTCCTTTGTCTTGTCTTCATTCACAGGCAGCCTTCCCTAAGCAAAGATGGTCACCATGCCCAGCTCTAGGCTTCCATTTTACAAACGTAGCAATACCAGCAGAGAGATGGGGCTTCTTTCCCATATTTCCCGCCCAAATCCTGGTTATGGCTGTCATTGGATTAGCTTAAGTCGTGTGCCCATCCCATGACCAATGATTTCCACCCTGATTGGTCTGGCCTGGGTCACAAGGTCCAGGCGGCGGGATTGGCCCCACCCAATCCCTTGGACAGAGACAGGAGGAGGAGCCTCCCCAGTGGAAAATTAGGGGTGAGGCGGGGTTATCACAAGGAGGAAAGACAACGACCTCAGTTGTCCATTACACGAGGTGTGCAGGCCTGCTTCTGGTGGCCAGGAGCCACTAATCCACTCAGTCACTTTACATGCATTTACCGATTGCTTACTCGGGGACAGAGTAAGCACAGAGCACAGAGGAGGGGTTGCTGACCCAGCTTCGGGCAGGGAGGGTCCTCTGGGGAGAATGCGATCGGGCAAAATGTGGAGAAGGGAATAAGACAATGTGCTGGGCAGAGGGGACAGGAGGTACAGAGACTTGGGAGGATCGTCAGAATGGAGTAGGAATAGGAGTAGGGCTTCAAGTAAGAAGGACCCCCTTCCAGACCACTGGGGACTCTTGCTAATTTCACCCCTTCCCACCCTCTGTTTGGTTTCTGCTTTGCAAAGGCACATGTCTTACAGGGACCTTGACCCTCAGGCTCGCAAGGAAACCAGCTAAGGCTCTGGTGCCCCCTGTTGCCCTACACGTCCCTCCTTCTAGCAGCTGTCGCCTGAGCTCTTGACCTTGGACGGTGGTCACCTGAGCTAGAGAAGGGGGCAAAGGAAAGGAATGAACATTCTTGGGTGTGAGCACGTGTGTGACCGCCTGTGCCACGTATCGAGGCCTGGTATGTCACCATCGCCACGGCGCAGTGCGGTGGAAATTTTGTGGAGGGGAAACTGAGGCACAGGCAAACCTAAGTAACCCGTCCAAGCTCTCTCTGGCCACTGAGCGGCAGGGCTGGGATCTGAACCCGGGCAGTGTGGCCTCAGAGCCCACACTCCTAACCTCTGTATTCTGCCTCTGCGAGAACGGGATGATACGTAGACACTTCGTGGATGTGCGTGGCACGCTGTTTGACACACGGCAAGTGCTCTCAAACACCAGCCCTTCTAAAATTTTTTTTTTTAACATTTACTTATTTTTGAGACAGAGAGAGACAGAGCATGAACAGGGGAGGGGCAGAGAGAGAGGGAGACACAGAATCTGAAACAGGCTCCAGGCTCTGAGCTGTCAGCACAGAGCCCGACACGGGGCTCGAACTCACGGACCACGAGATCGTGACCTGAGCCGAAGTCGGACGCTTAACCGACCGAGCCACCCAGGCGCCCCAAACACCAGCCCTTCTAATGTTACCGATTTCCATATGAAATTTAACACACGCAAACCCCCCCCGTGTTGCTCAGAAAGGTTGGGTCACTCCCCCGGAGTCCCACAGCCTTAAGTAGCAATAGGATTCTAGAAGCCCCTGGCTCTCCGCCCTGGCACTCGGTGTCTCGAACGGGGCCTGCCGGTGTCGGCCATGGGAAGCTTTCCTTCCCTGGAAGCCAGGCCTCCTGCCCTGCTCCTGTTCCCTTGGGGCTGGCCTCATTCTCATCTGACTTATTTAAGGCCGGGGCCCAACGTGCGGTCCCTATTAGGGCTGATCCATTTCTTCTTGTCACCAAGACCTGCAAGATGGATCAGCCCCATTTTTCATCCCTTGCTTTTGGGGCCTCGCCAGGGCTGTGCAGCGTCATTGTGTCATTTCTCTTGTTTAATATGTGTGAGGCCGTTTGTCAAAATTCTGGCCCCAACGCCTCCCCCATCCCCGCCCCAGGCACCAGGCAGGAGAGAAGCTTTGAGGCCAGACAGCGCCAGCCTCTGCCTCCCCACCCAGCAGAGCAAGACAGGCCACGGAGACTTGGGAGGTCGGGGATCAGAGATGCCCAGCTGATGTTGGGCACCGGCTTCTGGGAGGGACACGTGCCCAGGAAGGGGAAGGGTCCACGGTTGAGAGTCAGACGGCCTCGTTCACACCTTGCCGACATGCACTGCTGGGCCGCTGGGGGCAGGCACTGCGGAGGGGTGGTTGAAGGGCGGCCTCTGGGCTCAGACAGCCTGGGAGCAGATCCCCACTTTGACCCTCACCAGCCGTGGACTCGCACCAGGTCCCTCCGCCTCCCCGTGCCTCAGTATCCTCAGCTGTAAAATGGGGAGATGGCCCGAGTCTCTTGGCAAGCAGTCTGTCAGTTTTCTGTGGATTTATAACACATCACCCTAAAACGTAGTGGCTTAAAATAAAAATGTGTTATTGTCTCTTATGGCTTAACGGGTTGACTGGGCTTAGCTGGGTTTTCCTTGCTCGGCGTCTTCCATGACGCTTTGGTGGGATGCTGGCCAGGGCTGGAGTCATCTGGGGCTTGGCTGGGCAGGGGGGCCAAGCTGGCCCCTCCCAGCACTGGCTGTGGGTGCTGGCTGGGGGCTGGGGGCTCAGCTAGGCTGTCAGCAGGACCAGCTTCTCCAGGCCGGTGGCCGGGCCCCTGCGGGGAGCAAGCATTCCGAGAGATCCGAGCAGAAGCTACAAGTTTATTTTATGACCTTGCCTCAGAAGTCACACTGTTGTTTCCGCTGCTTCTGTTGGTCAAGAGCAAGTGATGGGCCAGATTCAAGGAGAAGGGGCCCACACAAAGCATGAACCCCGGGAGGTGAGGCTCCCGGCGGGGGGCATCCTTAGGGAGGGGCTGCAGTGAGGACTATGTGAAATAACACGTGTGAGGTGCTTAACACAGAGGATGTGCTCACGCGTGTTATTATTAAAGGCAAGCAACCCAGCGTCTCAAGTGATTCATCTCTCGAGTCGATAATACTAATGCATGCCTCACAGGGTCTCCATCCGCCCTGGATGCACCGCTCACATTTGCTCCCAGGACTTTAGTGTTCTCTTAGTATCCAGCCCTGGCCGTGACTTCCTGTCACTGCCCAGCTCGCTGCTTTGGCCGTGATAGAGCTTCAGAACCCCATCCTCACCCTGAGCCCAGAGCCCCTCCAGCCCTCCTGCCTGTTTGGTTTTTTTTTTTTTTTTTTTCCAAAAAAACGTCTCCCCTTAGCCCAGGGGCTGAACCCAGCCAGTAGACGTTTTGTATGGCCTGCCAGGATGTTCAATAAAAGTTGTATTTGCTTTTAACAGTCTAAAAAGGTAAACATTTTGTGCAAAACTCCAAGTTTTGGGCTTCTCTTGACCATTAGGGGCTATGTCCTTGCCTAACCGGCATTGCCACATGGCAGCCGGCGGCTGAAGCTGAGGGGTGGCTGCCCCCGTAGATGGGGCCCATGCTGTCCGGTTCACCTCTGTCCCCACCACTCCTTCTCGCCTTATACTTTCCTCGCTTCACCATCCAGCTGAGTCTGCGGGAACGTGAGTTTGTGACCCCCACGTGGAATGTCAGCATGTCCGTTTTCCTGGCGATGGCGGGGAAGGGGAAAGCTAGTCACTCTGTGCTTCTGATTTCAATTTGATCAAAGTGGAGAAAGATAGAAAAAAGGCCCTTCCTACCACAACACACACAGTGGAACCCCAGTCCTGAGCATTTAGTCTGCAGACTGAGGGTAGGAGAGCATCGTGGAGTTGTAGCTTTATAAGAGCTAGAAGCCCAGAGAGGTTAAGCGATTTGGCACAGGTCACACAGCAAGAGAGCAGCAAGCTGGGCCAGGTCCCAGAGGGGTGGTGCCTCTCTGTTTGCTTCTGGGACCCCATCTGTGTGAAGTGTGATGGCCTCGCAGCTACCCTCCTCCCTTCCTCCCCTTGTTCCCTTCCAGTCTCCACAACCCTGTGGAAACAGAAGGCTAGCCTCTTCCCTCTCTCAGGACCCTCGGCTGCCCTGCCCTCTCTGCAGGCCTTAGCTGGCATTTCAGC